ATTAGAAAACAGATGAGCAGAAAGAAAGATTAAGAGTTCCCCTTTTGATATGCTCAATTTGAGAAGCTGCAGAAATCTGTTCAAATAGATAAACACTGGATAGTGATGGGGGGGGCACTTAAGTGGCTCAGTCAACTGAGCATCTGACTTTGGCTCAGTCATGATCTCATGGTTCATGAGTTCGAGCCCTGCATCAGGTTGGCTGCTGTCAGCACAGAGCCTGCTTGGGATCCTCTGTCCACCTCTCCCCTGCACACATATGTGCGTATGCACTCTCGCTCTCTCTCTCTCTCTCTCAAAAATAAATGAACTTAAAAAAACGTATATAGACTGACATAAATACTACTATTTGGTCCCCATATTGTATGCTGTGTGCACGCTCACACACACACACACAGACGCACACAATGTTATATAACATATACATACCTTTGTTCACGATCTACCTGTTCACTAGCAAGGGAACAACAGCCACTCCTATACATACCCAAAGGTAAATTTTCTCTCTTGGTGGAATTAGTTTATGATGCTCTAGGAGGGAGTCTTACAGAAAGAAGTAATCATAAATTAGTCAGACTCAACAAATAAACCCTGCAGACTGCCAAAATAACCAACATCAGTCACTAGCATACAGATCACACTCCTATTCCAACTCACTGAATACTGAGAAAATGCAACAGTAAATGTGGCAGAAGATTAACAGCTGATCAATCTGTAGCTCAGGTTACAGGTTTCTGCTCTTTCCCCCTCTCGGTGTCTTTCATGTAGAATAGACACACATTATGGGACTGAACGTACTGGTGGTGTATGGACGTGGAGGAAAATATCCCAGAATTCTCTTTTGCTAAACTTACTATCTTTTACTTAAGAAAATAATGCTTCCTGGATTTCCACATAACATGGAAACACAAGTAACTGACTTTGCTCTGCACACCTCTGCAAGCAAGGACATAAGCCTTGGAAGGCAGTGTCCCTTCTAAACAATGGGCAGATCTATTTATTTTCCAGTTTAATAAAGATAATGTCCCCCCCTGGGCAAAGGTCAAACCAGCTTAGTGTCCATTTTAAAATATTTGAGCTCCGTACGCCTAAGGTTCCTCTCTTGCACAAAACTACAGAATTTCCTGCACTTGTAGCAGTCATCTAACCTGCATCATCAGCCTAAGTGCTGATACTCTGGCCAATCTGCTGCTGTAAGAACCTGTCCACTTGTGACCCAGGAATTCCATGCCTTATGTCATCATCTGTGGAAAGGCGGCAGGCTAAGCCTTCACAGGCTTGACAAGGAGTTTTAGCCACTGAGTTAAGACCCGTCAGTTTCAATTACTCACCAAGGAGTCACTGTACACAAAATCTAACCTAGACGAAACTACCCGCAGTAGCATAATCTGTGTGTCTGTGTATACATACCAATGCATGATTACTATACATTTCTTAAAGTTGTGCTCATATATTTACACAATTTTTTCCACTTAAGATCTTTGCTTGAAGGTAAAATCCATTGCCTACTTCCATCCTCTCCCTTTTCTTAATTTGCTAAGATAATGAAGTCTCTACTTCATGGCTATGCTACTAAAAAACAATTGGATATACACATCTCAGTATAAAATGTGCTTAAAAACATTAATGACACACAGAAGTTATGTCAGAGGTGATTCTTTCATTTAGGTCATCATATCACTTGGCAAAAATATTTGTGAGCTCAATTTTTCATATTGCATATTCATTGTTATCTACATGTCATAGCCTATTAGCTAACATAAAGGATAAATTTCTATGTAGCTGCTTTTGATGATGTCAAAGTCAATAAATCCACTGAAATAATTACAAAATTTTAGCTGCTTTCATATTATCAAAAGGTATTATTATAGATTAAAACAATTCTAAATGAAACTGGTGTTAACATAAGAAAAAGAGAAGCTGTCAAAATAAAAAAAATACGATGCATTACATAAGCAAATCATATGCTACTAAGAAGCTACAGTCTCCCACAAATTCATATCACTTAATATGAGGATTCAAAAATTAGTTTAATGACTATATTCAATGTAATTAAGGAAAGTGACTATAAAATCTCCAATCTTCTTTGCCTATTCACTCAACTATTTCTCTTCAATAAATTCTTAGAAAGTGTAACAAAAATTTTTTAATGAATTAAATGTCTTCATGAAGAAATATACATAAAAATATTTATGTAGACACATATATAAACATATCCATGAATACCACCAATTCTTCCATGTTGCAAAATCTCTGCCTGGGAAGTTCTCAAACAATGTAGAAAACTTATTCCAGCAACTATATGTATTTCACAATAATGATAAAATCAGTTTATCAAAAAATTTTGAAAAATATTTTATCACATTTTAGGATTTCATCATGTCTAATGCTCTCATTTAAATGAAGAACACATAATAATAGCCACTAGTATTGATCATCTCTAGGCACCGCACTAAGTAATTTATATATAGTAATTTGTATATCATTGACAACCCTGAGACATAGGTGTTATATCTGTATTTTAAAACAAAGAAATTAAAGTGAAGGAGGTTAAGTGGTTTGCCTGCTGTCATACAATTAGTGACTCAGTTGTAACCAGATCACCTGTCTGACTCAAAAACCTATACTAATAGCTATTACTGTCATAAGTATTACTTCCTTAAAAGCAACTAATGTCCATTTGTGGTTCCAGGTTCAATTTCAGACTTCAACTTAGCCCCTCCCGCCCCCGGGAATGAAGGGATACACAACTCATTTCAAGTTAACTCTCTAGTATTCATGTCAGTAATATTTACTGTAGTAAACTTAGCTCTGTTATATTTGCTGGTTCAATGCTGTCAAATTTTACATGGGGCATCAAGTTCTAAACTCAGCAAAGAATGAAGTGACGTGTTTAAAACAATCCTGGAACATCCCTAGAGATCAACCACTTTCCAGTATTTCCAGTAAAGTAGGTTTTACTTCCAGTATAGAAAGAGATCACAGCCCTCCAAGTTATTAAGGACCAAGAGTGAATTAGGCGCTCTGAACTTCACAGATAAATTTGTGTAACTTAAATAATGTGAGTTTATTCTCAGAGAACTGAGTACCAGATACCAAACTAGACTACATTCCAAATATGTATGCTTACTGAGCAAACTATTAAAACTTCAATTATTTAAGTTGTTATTTTGTTCTTCTTTAAATATGTGCATTCTGTAATCCACCATATAGTAGTATCAGACTCTCCTGTTTAAGAGAAATAAAAGCGGTTGTGGAAGACATCCTTTTCCAATCCTTAACAGTTTTCTCCCTAATTTTTCAATTAAAGTGTCTTTTTATAAAAAAATATTAATGGAACAATGTTAATTTTTGTAATTATACTAAATTAACAAGTGTTTTCACCTGTTAAAGCAGTCAGACCATTAGAAATACTAAGATACTTTGAAGATGTACACTTTTCAGTATGTTCAGATTTTTTTTCTTCCAACTGAAAGTTACTGTGGTCATCACAATTTCCATGGACTCCTTCATCATTTTTTACTGCCCTCTGCTGTGATAAAAGGCCAAAAAATAAATAAATAAATAAAAAATAAAAAACCCACTACTTTTTAATCTCCTCCCTTCCTCAAAAAAAATACATAAATAAATAACTGACACCTAAAACTCTTGGAATGTGGTCTACAAATACCAAATGCTAGAAAATGTACTTTTAACTTCTATTTGGCAACAGTTTTAATTTTCAGTTCTTCTCTAAACCTCTTACCAGAATTCCACCAAGAATTTTGTATGCCATGTTTTCATGTTAAAATTAAAAAACTAAAGGGAAGAAGTTAATATTGAGTTCAGAGTTGTTTCAGGTAAAGAGAAAGAGAATCACAATTATTTTGCGCATGACGCTGTTTTGTCACTCTCTACCCAGCTATCAAGAAACGTGTAATATTTTAAACCCGAATCAGATTTTGCAACACGTGTGTGTAATACTTCACCAGTAAAAGGTATCTTGAATTACAGTGAGTACTCTTACTAAAATAATGTACGAAACACTACGCACATTTCCAAATGAATTTTTTCCCGATCCTTCTAGATTGAGTATCTAAGGAAAGGAGGGATAACTGAAATTCACCAATAACTCTATTTTAAATATAGTGACTTCAAACCTCTCACCTAAGTTATTAGAGGACCAAGATTGATATCCGGTGATCTTCACAAGTAAATTTACATAACTCAAATAACGTGAGTTTATTCTCAAGGGAGTTCAACATAAATAAGCAATAAACCTACAGCTTTAAAAATGTAATTACGGGGGCACCTGGGTGGCTCAGTCGCTTAAGTGTCCGACTTCGGCTCAGGTCATGATGTCACGGTTCGAGGGTTCGAGCCCCACGTCGGGCTCTGTGCTGACAGCTCAGAGCCTGCAGCCTGCTTCAGATTCTGTGTCTCCCTCTCTCTGACCCTTCCCTGCTCACTCTCTCTCTCTCTCCTAGAAATAAATAAAACATTAAAAAAAATCTTTAAGAAAGAAAAATAGAAATAAAAAAATTAAAAATGTAATTACGAATACGAACTTAAAACACATTCTCAATATGCTCCGCCGTCGCTTGAATAACGAAGGGATCTGGGTACTGAACGTGAAGGACAGTTCTCACAGGTTTGCAAACATTCCTCAAGAGGATCTCCCCAGATAACACACCCCCTTGCAGTGACTCTAGGGCACAAGACGGCCTCCGAGGATCAAAAGCGCCGTGAGCCTGAAAGAGTGCGGCGCTAAGGCGCAGACTGGAAGACGCTGCCGTGCTGTTTTCGAGAACACACCAGGATAACCCCACAGCAGCAAGTGCGCGGCCCAAAGGACTCGCCCCGAGGCCTCGCCACCGCTCCGCGCGCGCCCCAAGGCCGCCGACGCCCACGCCCCGCGGCCTGGCTGCCTAGCAACGCGGGGAAGCTGCTCGGCAACGCCGCCGCCCCGCCCCGCCCCAGCCAGCCTGGGCCCACCCGGAAGGCCAAGGGGCACATTCTACCTCTTTTTTCTTCTGTCCTCCCCCGAGCTGGATGCAGAGCAGGAGAAGGAGGAGGAGAAAGGGGAAGCTCCCGGTGGGCAGGTATCGCAGCCGCCGCCCCGCCAGCCTCCGGCGTGAAGGAGCACCCCTGGCACCCATCGCCGCAGGGCAGTGTCTCCTCCACGCTCGGTAACCGTGCGCGCCCAGCTCCTCCCGGCGTCCCGCTCCCGCCAGGCCAGCCGCCGGGTGCCCCCGGCCTGTGCCCTCGTGGGTGCCTGCGGCTTCGCCAGGGAAGCGGCGGCCGCCGACGACGCGGAGGAGGAAACTGACAGCGCATCCGGTTCACCGGGAGAGGGGACCTGGAAAGGCCCGGGATGGGGCAGGAAGTGGGCGTGGCCAGGGGACGCGGGCCTCGTGCGCGCCTCTCCGTGAGCCCCGCCCCGCGCTGCGACTCTGGTCCCCACGGGGGTGGCCCAGTGCTGCCCTGTTGCTGAAACCAGTGCGAGGTTCCGGAATCTGGGAGGGGCCGGCTCAGTCCAACTGGAGCAAACGCCTGTTTACCTGAAGCCACACAGACCTAATCGCCTTCTTGCGTGATAGAGAAGCGATTTAAGGAATTAGTAGACACCTGGCCCCTCTCGCCCACAGGTAATCTCTGTTTCCATTGGGACGTTTTTCGAGCAGCTGTGGCTCACAAACCCTCTCAAGCCTCCAACATAATCTGCGCAATATAATCCCCTGGATGCATAGTCTCCACCTGCAACTTCACAGCTGTTCCTTGAAGCCCCAGTTGAGGGGCCTGAGGAGCCAACCTTTACGTCCCCTGCGTTCCATTCATTCAGTGTCCTGCGCTAGACACTTGGGATGCAAACATGAAAAGGACTTAATTCAGTTCCTGTTCTCTGAACATTTTAAGAACAAAGCTGCAGGCTGTTAACGGGATATTTGATTCGGGCCATTTGATTCTGGTGGGTCTTTGATGCCATGTCAAGGTTTCTTCTCTTGGATCATGAACACCTCTGAAAGTCTGATGAAGCCTACTGGCCCAATCTTCAAACAATATTTCTAACTGCATAAATTAAATTCATAAGATTACAGATGAATCAAGTATAGTTAAATACCATTATCAAACTTAAATCAGTTCATCTTTCACTCGGTGGTCAACACACATTCGTATTTGGGGAATACTGGAAAGCAGTGGTAGATATAAGAACCACCATATAAACATTCAGATATCACAACGTGATTATAACTCACGGAGAGACACAGAACTGTAGGATACTTGACCAACTAAGTAGCATGAGGGCTGTAAGTAAATTCTGCAATCATATGAAATCTAGCATTGTATCTAACAGCGATTCTAGTAAATATGGTAACACTGAAATAGCGATGGTTTCAAAATATCTGCTACTGGGCTCAGTTGGTAGAGCACGTGACTCTTGATGCCTGGGTTGTGAGTTGGAGCCCCACCTTGGGTGTAGGGATTACTTCAAAATAAAATCTCCTCCTACTGTACTGTTATCATAGGAAAAGATAAGATTCAGCAGGCAGAGAGGGAAAGGACCTGAGGACCCTGGGTGGGGAAGAATACTTATTTTGGAACAATGCTGGCAGTGTCTGACCACAGCAAACACCTTCGGGCATAAGGCTCCCCTTAAGAATGTAAAAGACACCACCTACTCCCCCTCAGGTTTTCCTCAGGAATTTGAGAAAAGACCTAACTAAAAATAAGTAATAGACTATCAAGCCCGTGGCCCACAAGGAATAGTATGGCCATAGACCACCCCTCATACAATGGAAAGAGCCAATCAGGAATGGACAACCCAGCACCTAGAGATACCAAGCGAATATGGGTAGGATCTGAGAAGGAACTAGGCGGGAGAGAAGAGAGGCCTGACCAGAACCCTATAAAACAAGGACACTTACCTACTGTCGCAGGCATTTACTGACAAATGTCCCCTCTCTGTAAAGAGAACTTTCCTACTGCTCTCACTTTCTGATCTAAAAAAACTTTTGCCTACTACTCATTTTGTGTCCACCTTTTCATTCTTCGAAGCAATGAGACAAAGAACCCTGGGTACTGAGATTAAAAAAAAAGTCCTGCAACACTGTAATATGAAGTTATTTGTAATTTCTGCAGGAAACAAAGCCATATGTACTGCTAATACCACCATGGTTTGCTTTCTGCTTTATAATTGAAGGAAACAGGATGTTCATGAGAGCTTAGTACAAAGAAGGTTGAATTTTTTCCATTTCAGCTGTCGCGGATGCCCCGAAATTTCATGGATTTCAAATTAAGAGCTCATGCTCCACAACAACCTTATCAGATAAGTCTGATTGTAACAATTTCACATACAGAAACTAAGACCAGAAGATCTAACTCAAAGTCATACAACTTTAAAAAGGTATACCAGGAATTTGAACGTTGGCAATCAAGCTCGATAGCCATTATTATATACGATTCTATGTTGCCTTTTTTAAAGGTATTTACAAATAAATCTCTCTTCTCTGTCTCTCAGGCTTTTGATTTCCCACTATGATGTGAGCATTTTTGCCCATAGTGATTACTGTCAAAAGAATAGGTCCTGGGGCGCCTGGGTGGCTCAGTCGGTTAAGCATCCGACTTCAGCTCAGGTCATGATCTCGCGGTTCGTGGCTTCGAGCCCCGCGTCGGGCTCTGTGCTGACTGCCAGCTCAGAGCCTGGAGCCTGTTTCAGTCTGTGACTCCCTCTCTCTCTGACCCTCCCCTGCTCACGCTGTCTCTCTCTCTCTCTCCTACAAATAAATAAAACATTTAAAAAAAAAAAAAGAATAGGTCCTTACTTTTTCCTTGAAACATGTGAAAATGGCCTCCACTTTTATCTATTTGGAGACAAGAGTAAATTTATGGTCTATATCAACGTAACATCTATATCAAGATACACTCAGTGTAATCAAAATCTACCATCTGCCCTTTCCTCTCCCAAACTCATCTTAGTTTCTTTTATTTTAGTTAAATACTACCATGCTAGGGGCTCCTGGGTGGCTCAGGGTGTTAAGCGTCCGACTTCAGCATGAAACGCCCAGAGTTCGAGAGACCCCAAAAACAGACCACCAGAGACCAGAGTCAAAGCCAATCGCAACGGTCGTTTATTTGCAGGTTTGAACGCGGACCTCCGCGCACTCGCCCCGAACAAAGTCTTTGCAGCCTTTTTATAGACAGGAGTAAACAAGTCGTGGGGAGGGACAGGGGATCTCTATGGTTACAGGTTTGTCATTGGTTGATATTTAAATGTGAACATATACCACATTTGATTGGTTCCCGCCATCAGGTTTTTGGCGGGATCCAATTACAACATTTAGGATACCTTTGAATTTAGCCAATCATAGAGCGAGTCTAGGGTCTTGTTCCCCGACTAACAGGTTAACTTCTCTCTCCCTAGGCCCCTCCTTCAGTAAGGCGGAGGGTGGCTGCTGGCCTTTCCTGATTGGGTGTTGCCAGGGTAGTGTGGCGGAGTGATGCGGTGGGCAGTTTCTCCGGCCTTGGGCAGTGTGCAGCTGCCTGATAGTTCCGGGGAGGCTGAAACTCAAGCCTTAAGCAATGGTACAGAAGCGGAAGGAGCTAGTTAGGTTTTAGTTTCCCGTAGTGCAAGCACTTGTACAGAAGCAGAAAAGCTGGTTGAGTTTTTGGTTTAGTTTGTCTAGGCCCCTCACTCCAAGGAGCCGGCACCGATGCAAGTACAAAAGGGTCTTTATTACAAGCTTGAGCAGGGGCTCACCCAGCCTGCTGGTGTCATGGCAGCAAGGTGAAGCCAAGAACAATAGCGAACAGGGTTTTTAAGGAGTAAGGGATGGAGGTGTTACGTACATGTAGCATCATCACATAAGCACCAATTACAATTACAGCTTCGACCATTCAGTGTCTGTGAGGTGTTCATTACTTTTGGTGGGACCCAATCATGACTTTTGAGAATCCTTTGAAAATGACCAATTGTGAGGTGAGTTCAAAGGGCCCACGTGGGGTTCAGACAAGCAGTGAGAAATTGGCTAGTTTATATCTGCAGTTTCCAGCCTTGACTCAGACCATAGGAATGTTTCTAATTTTTTCTTTTTGATTAGCTGAACTGAGGGCGGTCTGAGGATGGCTTTAGCCTTGAACAGTCTGAGGCTTTTCCTGGGACTGGGACTGGGGCTACGTGCAGCCCGAGGTTTCTCTTAATGGAGGACTTAATTTTTGGCTCTTCAAGCTCAGGTCATGATCTCGTGGTCGGTGAGTTTGAGCCCTGCATCAGGCTCTGTGCTGACAGCTCAGAGCCCAGAGCCTGCTTTGGATTCTGTGTCTCTTTCTCTCCACACCCCTCCCCCATTCAAGCTCTGTCTCTGTCTCTCAAAAATAAATAAACGTTAAAAAAAAATTTTTAATCAAATAAATACTACCATTGTAAGCAAGCCAATGTGAGTTCTCTCCTTGCTGAGTCACAGATAGAAACTACACCAGGTGAAATTTTTACAAAGAAAACTATTTGCAGCAAATAAGGAAATCATAAGAAATAACTAACAAAGCTACAACTCTGACCAAGGGTATGTGGGTTCCTTTCATTTAGGGTTAGGATGAATGATTGAAAAAATTTTTTTCTTATGTATTATTTACTTGTGAGAGAGAGAAAGAGAGCAAGGGAGGGGCAGAGAGAGAAGGAGACACAGAATCTGAAACAGGCTCCAGGCTCTAAGCTGTCAACACAAAGCCCAACGCAGGGCCTGAACCCACAAACTGTGAGATCATGACCTGAGCCAAAGTCGAATGCTTAACCGCCTGAGCCACCCAGGGACCCCCAGGATTAGGTTGAATAGTTTAAAAGGGGGTCCTTGTCATTGTAGGTAGAGGTGGGCATGAGGTCGCACAGGCACCTTAAGGAAACCTGCATTATGTACGCATCGTATATTAAGTAAATGAGGTTTGTGCTCCTCCTTGGGCAGAGGTTTTAATATTATAATGAGGTAAAGGTAATTATTCATTATTCTAGAGGTCACTCGATGGTCCACTGAAGCAGGTGAGTCAGGGAGTTAAGCTCAAACTGGTCAGAGTGGTCTGGGCTGGCTGAAGGTCCTGTCAGACCTGCTTGAGGGGTGCTTTTGCTTTCCATTTGCTGGAGTTAAGAGATAAAACGGAAAGAAAAGCTTAAGGAAAAATGTAGGACAAAGGTCGGTGCGTATGCGCAGGTGAGCAGTAAAGGTCAGGTCTTGGAATCTAGCTGATGATACCACCATCCTCCTAATTACCAATTTTCAGAGCCTCAGAGCTGCCTTCCATTTTGCTCGTTCTCTCCAACCATACTGCCATCCATATTTGGTTACCAAGTTACTCAGCCTCCG